AATAATATTTATCGTAATGTCATTTAATGTCTGACTTAATTATTATAATAATCACCCTTATAACAATAATGTGAGGCGCGAAGCATTTTATTTTACATTAGACCATATAATGATATATTTATCAGAATTATTGATGCGACGAATGATTGTACGATTAATTGCTGTATATTTTTAACAATTATTATGTAATCGAAAATTATTCGACAAGTTATGTTGAATTTTTTTCTCCCTCTTGCTTATTTTGATGAATTTTAATTTAACAAAGTTCCATTTCATTCTCTAATTAAGCTTTGTAATTCTAAGCAAATATATGTATTTATAATTATTCTTGCCCGTAATGGTAATACAATTATCAATAATGTTATATAAGGAAAATTTAATCTTATAATATAATATGTAAACCAGAAAAAAGTATTTATAACGTTATTCTTATCATATTATTGCATTATCATTACTGTTTCTTTTTTTTTGTTGTTTTTTTTTTTGGTTTTTTTTTTTTTGCTTTTGTTTTTGTTTTTGTTTTTCACTTTCAACTTTACTCGTAAGCGGATATTATTAGAATATTGGTTTAATGCATAGTTCTTGAAATAACAGCCTAATTATATTTTTAATTATGGAATTATAAAAGATTTCACGTTACGCGCATAATTACTCCCTTTCGGTATTAATCAGATGCAAATAATATATAATGTGCGTGTGTTTGTAATGCGGTGTTATGGAAAGCTCTTAGAACGATGTTATTTGCGATGGAAATTATATTAGAATCTATAGGTCAATGCTGTCACTAAGCTTGTTATTAAGATTCTTTCGTTAAACGGATGCATAAATATCTTATCAAGTATTATGATATCGAATGAAGTAAAGTAGAGCGATGGCCAGGCAAAAGTTAATTTTATTAATTTAACATTTACTTTTATCGCTACTCTTACACGCATATTCTAGATTTCAATTTAAAATTATTTTCAAACATTCAAGGATGTATCAATATTTCCCAATAATTATTTTTCTCCTTTTTTTTTTTTTTTGTTTAATCGACTCAATGCATTCCTGTTAATAAAAGGATGAAAATTCTTCTTTCCTATTTATATTTATATTTAATTTACGAAAATTGAAATTGTAAACTATGATATTCATAAGCATAATTTCATATATAATTTTTATATTTACATCAATGATTAGACGTTGAATTTATATCGTCGTCTTATCGAAACATATGTCATTTTTTCAATTTATAAACAAATAAAATTATATCAATACAAATCAATTTATAAAAAAAAAAATCTTTAAATATCCTCTGCTCATCGTATAAACTAGGAATAATTGGATTAATGAAACGAATAATTTTTGCACAAAATCCAAAGAATTTCAAGAGATTAATCAGTCGCATAATCAACGTTTTACTATACCTCGTAAAACAAAACAAAGCAAACAAATTATTCTAAATATAACACCAATGAGTATATAATGAAGTTTTTCAAAGTGCTAATTTGATAGTAGCAATATCAAATAATTCGTATATACTTGGCTATTTTAAAAATTAATTACATCTGTATTCCGAAAGAGATATAGAAAATGTATATGTGCATACGGAAGATACTAGCTGCTATGCAAATTCAGTATCTATTTTGCAATTTAAAAGTAAATAAATGCTTAGAACATGATAAGCCGATTGTTTAGTTACTTCATCAATTTGTCAACTAAAGCAGAATAAAGTGTTTTTATTTTTCAAATGCAAACCTTGCAAGTGAATCTCCCGTCTTATCATCTACGCATCGAGTCTCATAATATTATAAGAAACTACGTGTTTTAGAGAGATTGAAATAGTTTTATAATTTATTTTGTCTTTTTATTTTTGAAGCGAAACAGTTGATAGGTTTGAGCAAGCGTTGCTTGAAATTAAAACAAAAGCAAAAAAAAAAAAACAAAAAAAAAACAAAACAAAAAAAAAAGAAGAAAAATGTAGAATAAATATTGGAAGAGCGAGCAAAGGAGCGAAAGAAAATTCGCATTTTTTTTATTAAATTAAAGAAAACTAAAGGACATCTTTACAAACCGATTAATGATCCGTCATTGCTCCAAGAATATCTAAAACTAATACACCAGTATTTTCTAATACAACAAGCACAGCTGTGTTTGTTTGTTGTTCGTGTGCCCCCATAAGGGCGGCATCATCCCGTGATCCAGGATCGTTACATACTAAAAATCATTGTTGGAGGGACGAAGCAACGTTGAATTTCCAAAAGTCAATTTTAACAAGTAAGATAAATAAAGCAATCGTATCCTCTTAGGCGGTCGTTTATCGCTTATCAAGGAAAATGTGAGTTGAGATGTGGGTGAATGACGTACAGTTCAAATTTTTCGATCGCGGGTGAACCTTTCATGTTGAATACAACAATCGTTTGCTATTTTTGTCCCTTCGACTTAAGATAAAATGCGTTGATAAAATGCATACTATCTAATCTAATATATTGAATAAAGTAACTTTTATAGCCGTTAACTTATACAAATTTATATATATATATATATACATATATATATATATATATATATATATATAATGTAAATGTAAATTTATAGTTTAAAAATTCATACAACTTGTTCCATACAAAATATTTAATAAATAAAATTTAGATTTCGATGCTAAAGACTGTAATATCGTATAAAGAGATTTTCCAATCAATTTATCTCGTATTCAAACAATATATTTGTTCGGAAAATAATCCCACAATTTTACTAGTCAGCCAAACGTGCAATAATTAACGTAGAACAATAAAACCCACTAGATGTTGTGTGGGGTTGCCGGGCAAGTAAAGGGTGAATGCACTGACTAATAATTAACACATGTCTTTATTATTTCTGTTTAGTTGAATTAATTTACAAAAGGGTGAATTACAGACGAACTTTATATTTCTTAATAATTTTGGTATATAATTACTATAAACAGAAGTAGGTTATAATCTATTGAATATTATCACTTGAGATTATGGTGATGTAGTGTTCTGATCGAATACTGCAATGTTATTGTGTTTTATCTCAACACGTGTGCAGTTGCCTTTAAATATCGGTCGTAAGAGAGCCGAGATGGAGGTTATGCGAAGCTGTGCGCCATCTGTGGCTGGAACAACTTGCAGTTGGAGGGATTGAGAAGCCAATGTGGCGTTTATAGCTGGTCTTGTTCAAGAGTATGTCCGGGAAGCTTCCGTAGTTGGACTTTATCCGTCCGTCTTCTACATAAGCCGAGAAATCAAGAATGAGTACTAGCTGTAAGGACTTACTTGCAGTGTATCGTGATTTTCCAGTCTCTCTTCGATGGCTTGTTATTACGTTCCCTTGCAATGTTGCAACCCTTCAGTTCTTCCTTGTCTCCAAGTGAGACCACAAGTGGTCAGGTCCCACGCAATCCAGTCTTGATGAGATCAATTCAACTGTACACTAATTCACAATAGTGGAAAGAACTTATTATTAAAACTCAGCTAGCTAAACGACTCATCTCTCCGGTCCTCCTCCGTGAGAGTTGGTCGTGACTTATCCTTCACTGTAAGAAGTATTTGGAAAGAGTAAGTGAGGGTACATTACGTAGTCCCTTCTTAAATGGTTCACTGATCCCGCTCCACTTGGGATCCCTTCTTCCTTTATTAATTAACCAATCAGTGGTTGATCTTGGGTCGCACAATAGATTATGCACGCCTTCGTTTCCACTTCCTTCCGGGCTCAGTTCCGAATTTGCTAATCGGGAAAGTGTCGGAAGGTGGCGAGCCTTTTCCATTGGTCACCTCTCTTTGGTTGCCTCCTCCCTCTCTGGGACTTGGCTAGAAGAAGGATCCGCTTGGGCGTGGTCAATTTTCCAATACGATCGACCAGATGTGGCATAGCCAAGAACAATGCAAGCATTGTCTTAAAGGCCGAGTGCGCACGTATGGTCATTGCATGTGTAGTACGTACGGGTTTTCGGTTGCAGTAAATATATGTAATCAATGCTTTACGCATACCTGATATTCGTTCTGAATCTACTTTGACGTTCTTCCGGCAGTAAACCCATTAGGTTCTACTGCACTGGGAGTATGAGCACGTTCCGCTAGAGTTTTCCAGATGTTTTATGACACTAGTACAAATAATTATGAGCAGGAAAGTTTTGAAGTCTTAAATACAATTTTCATGACATTACTTGTCAGATATTTTATTGCCTTACTAAACGGAGTCTCTTATTCTCAAACAATATTTAAGAGATAAGAATTTCATCAAGAAGAATCAAAACTTGACTTTATCATGTGATTCATTTAAGAAATGATAGATTTCTAAAAAAAAAAGAAAAAAACGACTTTGGACGAAAATTCTTAAATAATTGTTTATACTAAAACTACTGTCACAATTAAATTACTAATATCAATTTAAATCCTTAAATATTTTCAATAACTATAAACGTATGGTAAGATTAATCATTAATATTAAGATACGATAAATTTTCGCTAGTTTCAAAACAAATTAGTCCGAATGATAATTAAAAGTTAATTGTTTTAATGGATAATTTTATTCCCAATTATCATAACATAATTGTTATATTTATTAAATAAATTAAATTAATAGTAATTATAATAATAAAATTATAATATTACAAATGTCAAAAGTTTACATTTATAGTTAGATTTGCTGCTCATTTCTATTACATATACATTAAAAATCACCATTTGAGCGACGTTACTAACACCTACTATATATTTTAAAACATGTTTACAATATTTGGAAAAGTAACGAGGATAAATGATAGAATTTATAAAATATTGAATAATTTATATTTACAATGTAAAAGCAATGTAATATAACTGACGAAGTAATCATATTTTAAAACTTTTTAAACCATATACTTTCGATTTTTTCTCTCTCTTTTTTTTTTGTTTTTTTTTTGTTTTTTTTTTTTGTTAAGAATAACGTGTCTCAATTAAATTGAATATTAAACATTATATTTATGCAAGAATATGATAAGTCTGTAGAGCTATGGAACTTTACTTTTCAACAACCATGTTCTTCTTCATACATTCGACATAATTTAAAAAATAACCCAAATGTTTTTCTCCATTTGTTTAAATTTTATTAAATATTATAATATAACATTATATGTCCAATGCATGAACGTGATTTTGTGAATTTTATACTCTTGTGATACAATGCCAATATTGCACATTTTTTTTCACTGCTTAGTTCATATTTCATTTATAATGAATCCTTGGATGTAAAATCCTAACAGCGACAATTACTTTCTTATTTAAATTGAATTGTATAATATAAAGAAAGAGAAGAACAAAATTTAATCCTTTAGCAATTTTTAACAGATGTTTTTATATAAATAAATGTTTCCCTGATAAATATCCTCATGATTGATCCAAGACTTTGTATTTACATTAGGACTACATAAGCACACGCGCGCTCGCGCGCGCACACACACACACACGCACACACGCACACACACACACACACACACATATATATATGTGTATATTTTCCAAAATTCTTCAAGATTAATTTTTTTCCCTCGTAATATTATTATACACTATATTTTTTATTATAACACTCTTGGGCTAAATTGAATAGGTGTTGGGACATAAATTCACCAGTCTCCTTAACCAACGAACTAAAGTGACTATTTTCCTTTTGAAGTAATACATATGGGTGCTCGAATTCCTAAAAGAATTTAAACATTAATCATCGTAACTGTCATTTTAATACTCATAATAAACAAAGCGAATTTCAAAATAATTGCACGATCTCACTACTCGATCAACTTAATATTAATTATTCTTAGACCTTATACATTTAATTGAGAATAAGTACATTTTTCCTTCACTTAATATCTAATGGTCGAACGTTCGATTATTCATTAAGAGTATCCTTACGATCAAATGCCCCTTATCAATGACCATAATTTTGTCACTATCCATTATCGTGTTCAAGCGATGCGCTATTGTCAAAATAGTGCACGTAGCGAATTTTTGTCTGATGGTTTTTTGAATGAGAATGTCAGTTTGTGCATCGACATTGGCTGTGGCCTCGTCAACGGCTAATATACGATTATTTCTTAAAATCGCTCTTGCCAAACAGATGAGCTGTCTTTGTCCAATGCTAAAATTCGTGCCTTTCTCTATTACTCGGCAGTTCAAACCATTTTCAAATGAAGATATCGTGTCTTTCAGTTCTACCTGAAAATATTATCATCAATAATGATTATTTATTAAGATAAAGCACGTATAGTGTAGGTAGAGCTTAATTATGTCATTTCCTCTGCTCAGAGCGAGTACGAAAAAGTTTTTTTTTCCTACGTTATACATTGATTAGGTTATAAAACAAAATTTTATTTATTAAATTGTTATTAGGATTCGATTTTTAATCACGAGTCAACGTTTGAGTAAGGACACTAACTTCATCCAGTGCTTTCCATAAATCCTGATCGAAAAATTCATTCAACGGATCGAGATTATATCTCAGTGTGCCGGAAAATAATACAGGATCTTGGGGAATTATAGAGATCCGACTTCGGAGATCTTTCAATGAAAGTTTTTCGGTATCTATTCCATCAATTTCAATATGACCCTTTACTCGAGCGAGTCTAAAGATCGCAGATATTATCGATGATTTACCAGCGCCGGTTCTTCCGACAATACCAATCTGTACAAGAATAATAGAAATACATTATTTTATTCTGCTACAAACGCGATATGGATTTTTTTTTTTTTTTTATCTATATAAATTAAGCGTAATCTAATGCCAATAAAGTAATACCAATTTTTCTATGGATAATCGAACTTAGTAATTTCACATTTTAATTAATTTTATATTAACTATTCATAAGTATTAGATGAAAATAAAAAAAATTTTCTCATTCGATAAATATATGGATAAAGTAATCGTCTTAAATACTATTTCAAAACATATGAAATTTTCATTTCCATACAACTACATAAATTCAGATATTATCATTATTATTATTATTATTATTATTACTATTGTTGTTATTACTATTGTTGTTATTACTATTGTTGTTATTATTATTGTTGTTATTATTATTGTTATTATTATTATTATTATACATTAATTACAAACATATTTTTCATCATTTTAAAGATGAGAGAAATTCATATCGAATAACTTCATAGAGTTTTTATAAAATTGAAAAGATGGATTTTCTCTTTTTGTTCAATAACCATCGCTATGAATATGCTGAAAAGGTTTAAATTTTTCTTAGTTCAATTCAATACAAAACCTAATTGTCTACCTTGTATAATAATATAATAACAGGCATTAATGTCTAAATGATTTTATGTTTTAATCGATTAAACTATGCTAATATAACTATGCTAATGGCCGTAAATAATATTGTAGTTAAAAAAAAATACAAGTCACATACTCGCGGATATTTTGTAATATAAGAAATTTCCTAATAGATTTTTTATATTATAAGGATAAATTCGATAATGAATTTAAGTAAAAATTACCCTTTGCAAATGCATTAATTGTCGGTTCGAACAATCGTCAAACAAAGAAATTTCATTTACGTGTTTATTTTTATGAAATGTACATATTCGTCAACTGCTACTAACCTTTTCCATAGCACTAATCCGAAAGCTTAAATTTTTCAATACTGGATTATTATTTTCAGCATATGTTAAAAAAACATCATCAAAGGTAATAATACCATTACTTGGCCAGCATTTTAATGTATTAGCCGGTGAAATTATTAAACTTTTTTCGTTTTCTTCACCCTCCTCTTTAGACACTTTTAACTTCTTGTCTGGATTGTCCTCTGGACAAATCTGCGTATACTCAAGAATTCGTTCAACAGACATCATCTGATTATTTATTTCAGCCATCTGGCGCATTCCCCACTCAACCATACTTGTTACCCATATCATTTGGGTAATGGCTAGGCCGACATCGCCACTATTAAAGTCTATAAATGACATTAAAGTGTAAGCTTTACGTAAACTTTGTATACGCGCCCTATGAAAGTCTATTGAAATGAATTTTTAATGAATCGTACCATGAGAAAACATGTCATAAATTAAATGTTGCCAATGTATGTAAGTTCATTGACTATTTTCCAAGGCAACAGTAAGTAAGAAATTGTTAATGTTAAGTCGCTCAACCGTTACTTCTATGTATGAATAAAGTGAGTGCTATTTATACGCTTATTTATTGTATCATTATTTCTCCATATTATTTATTAGATATATATATATATATTATTTATACAAATTTATACAAGAAAAAACAAACAAAAAACTACATATACTTTATATTAAAAAAAAGAAAAAAAAGAAAAAAAAAAGCACATGTTATTATTAAAGTTCAATGCTCATAATATTATTCTTCGATACGAATACCAATACTGTTAAAATTGTAATATTAAAAGTGATGATTCGTTTATCTTTTCCACTTTGCTCGATAAAAATGATTATTATTATTAAATGATAATTAAATGATAAGTATGGCTTAACATAATAAAATTATTGATAAATACGACGGTCATTAAGATTTCGTACAAAGAGAAATTTCGAGCAAATTGCAATTGTTTTTAATGCTAATTTTATTATTGGTGAAACTTACGTTGCTTAAACATCAGTAAGATAAAGATGATACATATTATAAAATGAAAAGTGCATAGGTTCAATGCAAAAGAGAAGGCTTCGTTACATGCCAAGAATAGAAACCAGGATGATGTATGATTGTCTTGAAATCTATCGAATTCCTCTTTGAAATTCAATTGCGCCTTAAATGCTCTTATTGTAGAGATTCCATTGAGAGTTATATTGAGATGAGTAAATAATGGCGATCTAGCTGGAAAATTAGAAAATTTTTAAATTAAAACGAATAATGACTAATCAGAAAAGTTAATTATCCAAAATGTCATGGCTACTATTAACGTTATTATCATTAAGACGTATATATGTATATGTATATATGTATATTTAAATTAAAAAAAAAAAAACTCATACTCATTCCCTCTAAGCGTTTGAGATTCGTGCTTGTTTTTAAATAAATCCTCTTGATCCAGTAAGTGACGTAAGCAATGACGATCGCTGGTATCAGAAAGAGAGGATTCACCATACAAGTAATGATGAAGGCACCGGTAATTGTTAACAACACTTGGCCGGAATCAAGCATTGTTCTCGGTAATTGATTGTCGATTATATCCATGTCCTTGGAGAAACGATTGAGGATTCGGCCGCTCGCGTTTACCTCGAAGAAGTGCATTGGTGCGCGCAGGATAGCGGAGAGAGCCGAGTCGTGCAGACATTTGCTATTGCGTAGGCAGACATTGTAGAAGAGGTAAGAGCGTAAGAGTCCAATGCCAAATATCGCCAGGACAATCGTTGTGTAAAGGTAGATGTAAGTCCGGATTATATTTACATCCCCTTGCGCGACAATTGCTGCTTCATCTAGGGGAGAAGAAGGATAAATTTGTGCTTTCCGATACTTAATTGCATGTGCTTAAGATGGTCATGTGATGTAGCAATATTGCATTTTATTCATAATTAATCATTGTGAAAAATAAATTTTTCATTAAAAACTTCAACAACAACAATAACAACAACAACAAGAATCGTATGCAATAGACGTTGTAGTTGCATAATCTTTTACAATTAAATAATGATTGTGCACAATTATTGTGCGATCGATATATTGCGGATGAGAAATGCAAAATTTTATTATATGCAAATCAGAGTTAATTGAGTGAAAGTAAATTCATAATAAGAGACGACTATTTTTATGAAATGACATTATCATTAAAAAAAAAAAAAAAGCATCAACCTTCAACATTGGTAAGCAAATACGAATCATTTGTTCTCTTGTGGTAGTAAGTTCGATTTTCCAAAGCAGTCACCCTATATGTACATATATACATATATATATATATATATATAGAAAAAAACGTTGAAACATACTTTAATAATTAATAAAATATTAGAATAACTTAAGGTTAACAAGTCGTAATATCATAAGGACATGTATTTTGTAAATTCTTATCCAATAAACATTTAATGTATATTTGTCTATATTTCTAAAAAAAGATTTCGTTAATTTTTTTAATTATAATAAGTGTTTAAATCAACTTTGACCGTTTTAATTACTGGTGATAAAATTGTAATATTTATATTCAAATGATATAACAAAACTATTCTAATGATACAATTCATTGATATACATAATAAGACACTTTAATATTTTTATTACAAAGTTAATTGCAAGATTTATAGAGGCATTATATTCTTTGGCTTTAATTAGATTCCTCTTAATTTAAGAAAGAATAAACACATATACACAAAAATTTTCATAATAACAACATTAAAAGTAATTAATTATTAATAGTTACCGATATTAGCGATAGATGTAAAAAAAACTCTTTGACAATAAATATATCAATTGAACAAGGAAACGTTGTAATTTTATTTAAATTTTAATTTAATGTGTTCTTTATACGACCATGTAATGTAATAATTGAAACTTACATATTTGATACGTAAAGATCATTAAGGCCAATAAGGAACTGTGTTACAATAAATAACGCAGCCATTAAAATTGCGATACATAATCGAGAACTTGATTGGAAATATTTTAAAAATATACTGCCTTTAATAACATTTTTTGATGAATTTTCAATGACACTATTAATAGTTAAGGAATTGTCATTCGTATTTTTCATATTTTTTATGGACTGCGACGTAGGTAACTGTAAATCAAATAACCTTATATTGTTATTTATCATTATTATTTTTCTGCTAAATTAATTTAATTTACGTTTTTTTTTTATCAGTAAGTCTTATAGATCTTGAATTATTAGAAGATTTAATATTGTTTTTTTTTTTTTTTTTTTTTTTTTTTTTTTTTTTTTTTTTTTTTTTATTTTTTTATAGTAGTTTTTCAAAATTAACATAGGAATAGCAAAATATCCTCCTTACTTTAGTTTCAATTGATGTAAAACGGCTTTCTGCTTCGGTAATTTCAACATTTTCATTCAAATTACGATTTAGCTTTGGCATGATAAAGTTATTGTACTCTTTATGTACTTTTAATAACTCATGATAATACTTATAAAACTGTATTTTTCCTTGATCAAAAAATATAATACCATCGACGTCCGCTAGATTTTGCAATTGATGCGTCACTAAAATGCAAGTCTTATGCCGTAAATATCCCAATATGCAATTTTCGATCAAGTGTTTGCCGACTCGCGCATCTACCTATAAGTATGGAAAAATCTAGTAATTAAATATAATTATTAATTTCATGAGTGCCTCTTGCAAGTTTCGCTTTCAAGTCCAATCTTTCTTGATATTTTAAATTAATTTATTTCTCGAGTTACATATACATATACATATATATATATTTTTTTTTAAGATAAATTGTCGTGGACGAAAATTCTTGTATAATAATATATTTATATATACATTAGCAATGATTTCCTATATTAAAAATAGTTTTTTATATCAATTATTGGTGTATTTAATGAATGTATTTTTTCCATTTTTTTTTTTTTTTTTTTTTTTTTAAAGTTTTTTAAGTCATTACATATCGTTTAGCATTTGATTAAACTCCAATTTTTTAGCATCTGATAACAATATTTTATCATCTGTTATCGGATTCTTGAATAAATATTATCATTACAAATTGAACTCTGCGCTTTGAATTATACGAAATTCAAATTTCAAAACGTATCTTTAATGTAAAGCATAAAATAATTTAACACGAATAAAATATTTGCAACGAATTGTTTGCACAATGTACCAATTGTTAAGCTAACGAAGTAAAAAATTCTAGTTCAAAATAAATTGTAACAATAAAATTAATTACATATTACTTACTATTTATTAAAGAGTAAATCAATCATTATCATTGTGTTATCGAAAAACGGTAGTTTTCATTTATTTGATATTATTTTTAATGTATTTTGATTATAGATTTGATTACATTAATTCAAACTTTGACAATTATCTCAGCTTTAAATATATCTAACGGAGTTTCTCAAATGTTTGCATCGTTTATCATCGGAAATATCGTCAATGTTTACGTAGAGTAACAAATTCGTTATTTATCCGTTATAATCTTATATAATTATATAAGAAAAATTAAGACATTCTTCAGCCAGCACCGGTGTTTTCGTGATAAAAACAAAAGAAAAACAAAAGAAAAACAAAAAAAAAAAAACAAAAAAAAAAACGGAAAAGGAAAAGAAAAAAAAAAGAAGAAGAAAATCTGTCCGAAGCAGAACTTAAGTTTGTGCTACTAGGAATTTGATAGGCGAGTCATCAATCGATCAGACAACATTTCACGATTCTCCTAATATAATCAACTTACCGCACTTAAGGGATCGTCCAGCAGATAAATGTCGGCTTGTCGATAAACGGCTCTGGCCAAGCTGATTCGAGACCTTTGACCCCCGGACAGCGAACTGCCCTTTTCGTCCAAAAGCGTCTGGTCGGCCTCGGGGAGCTGAGCAAAATCCTCGACCAGTGAGCAGACCTCGATCACTCTCTCGTACCTTCGCCTCTCAAATTCTTGGCCAAATAGTATATTCTGACGAACACTTGCTCCACATATCCAGGCGTCCTGTGCCGCGTAGCTGACGCTCCCCGACACCTCGGCCGTGCCCCCGACGCACTCGATCTCATTGAGGATCACCGAAAGGAAGGAGCTTTTCCCGGAGCCGACGACACCTAAGACCACGTAAAGCTTGCCCTTCTCCAATTCCAAGCTCGCGTCTTCCAAAGTATTGTGCGATTGGCTCGGGCACCATTTGGCCGAAAGGCTTTTTAATCTTATGCACCACGACGCCTCTCTTCTATCCTTCCTTACAATAATAATTTTGCACGAGCGATTGCTTTTTAGACGGAATTATTCGCTTGTATTTGAGAGTATGAGTTGAGTCGTACGATGTCGTCGATTTTGCGAATGTAAATAAGCGATTGAAATTTTGTTAAGACTGACGGATTGATGATAAGCTTGAACTTTCCTCGCGGCGTAGTAAATTCGTTTATTATTCAATCAAGCAGATTGAAAAACTATAAGACTTTACTCGGTCAAACTTATGGCAAATTTATCATTTATTACAATTAATAATGCAATATTCATTTAAAAGAACCAAAAAAAAAAAAAAAAAGATGACAAAAACACACTAGTATCTGTTAAATAATTGGAAAATTTCAAAAAGCTTTAATGTATACGCGAATAATGTTGAATATTAATGTGAACGTGCGTGATTAAATGATGGAGGAAAAAAAAAAAAAAAAAGAACAAAAATGTCGATATAAAAGAAATTATTTACTCGACGCTATTGGCTTTTTTGGATTTGTCGGTCTTTAATGGCACTTTGCCGACGACATTGTATGTCCGGAATTCCTTCATTAAAAGAAAGGACTGGATCCTATCAGCGGAGACCTTGCATTCGGCGATCTCGTCGAAACTCCTCACGAATTTTCCGGTCAATGAGAAGGATAATTTGTTGTAGAATGTTGCAATCACCAAGATCCTGTCTATGGCCAAATCCTCGCCTAACGCCAGCATCGACATGATCGTAAAATAAAGAGCTACGCGCGTTATGCTGAGAAAAGTCGTCATAAAAAGACCGCGAATGTGAGAGCTTTTCCCAATGACCTTGAGCTCTAAGAATCGAACAAGTTTCACGAGTGCGTGGAACGGCTGCTCCCATGCGTATGTTTTTATCACCTGTGCGCCCGATATTATCTCATCCACGAGACGAACTCGCTCATCCGTCTTTAGCGCTGTTTCCAATCGATACTTTGTCGCTAATTTGCCAGTAAATACTATAAATAATCGTATTACCGTAATTAGTTGAAATTTTGCGGCCAAATTTGTCAATGACGTTGACGTGCATTTAACAAATCAGCAATTGGCAATTCTAGCGAGAGAAAGCGATTAAGGGGATGGCCTTAATTCACAATAATTTCAATCGATAAGCGTAAATAATAACGGGCCAATCTTATTTCCATAAGTCTTTCGAGGATAAGGAGGGATTTACGGTATTAATTGAAAAGCAGGACTATACTTATAATAGAAAAACTTATCAAAAGAAAAGCCTTATTAATGCAAATATGATTTACTTTGGACAGGAACTGTTGTCAGCATAATGCCTATTCCAATCAGACCGGCGATACCAGCTTCTTTATACAGAATGTAAGCAACGATAAGAGTTGCAATTGGCGTAGTCCAAATTGTGTGCAAAAAGACAATGATGAGATCGTATCTACCGACATCGTTTGCCAATAGATTTATTACTTTTCCACTCGACGTTTCACCAAGCGATGCGCTATTTAGCTTCAATGCCTATTCCCAACGACAATTTTATCGATGTTATTTTACAATATTTTACGATATTATAAATTGTATAATATATAATTAATTTAATTTAATCGTCGTTCGTGTGATCCCTTGTAAATTTACAGACGCGCTCTATCTATCTATATATCCTTTTATAATCGATATAAAGGACACTCTTTTTTTCTTCATTTTTTTCCTTCATTTTTTTTTTTTGAATATCAATGACGATCGTTTACTTAATGTTTTTTGTATATTTATTCGTCAATTTGCGAGTTACCTACTTTGTTGTATATCAATGAGCGAATGGCGATGCGTATTCTTCCGGCAAGATGCTTCGCTTGAAAGGACTGATGATTGTTTAACATTATTGTAAGTATGTTCGTGGCGATAAACGCTATGAAGTAAAATAAAGCTTCTTCGAACGATGATGTCAATCGAAGCTTGAAATATCGCAGTAGTAATCCCAGGATTAATGGCAACCCTAAGCTATAAATATTTGTGAAAGCTCATTGTGTAGAGATGCCCCACCGACCATTTCCAATATTAGTAATATTTATTTGTAATAAAAATCATTACAATGTACTTCTGTCGAAATATTGATATTTATTGTTATGTGTAAATAACTTTACCTGAATATGATGTCAAGAAAGAAATGAAGAATTCCTAAATGTAGAATTTCTTTTGTAAAAGTGAGTAAAATAATGTTGAACAAACTTGGCTTGTTGTTCCGTTTCTCTGCTCTGTTTAACTCTGCATTCCAATGCCTTTATTAATATATTAATTTATTTATTTACATCTACAAGTATAGTAATGCACCAGCGCATATAAGTTTTATTGTAAGACACGGACTAGGGGAAAGCCAAAAGGTAAAAAAGTATTGTCAAAAATATACGATTCACCTTTTCAGTTTAGCTCCTAGAAATTTAGATCGATCGTTCTTCAAAGGCTCATACAAATCATAAAATGTCAATGTTTTACTGTAGCCTTTCTTAAATAATTCTATTGTCCACCTAATGCAAGTACAAAATACAAAATAACGTTTATTATACTAATTAACATTTACAAGTTTTATAACTGATAAATTGAATAGAATATAATTTGTATAAATAATAATTTGAATAGAATAGGACATAAGTTGAAAAAATATAGATTTTTTTCTTTTAACTCTACTCTCTCCAGCATTAAATATTGTTAAAATATTCGGAGTCTGATTATAACTTTATTAACGACTTTTATTACATTGTAATTGATTTTAAATGAAAACAAAAAAACAAAAAAAAAACAAAATAAAACAAAAAAAAAACAAAAAAAAACGCCACATAAATCACTATATCTCTTTTAATTATTATTATTATTTTCTTTCTATTACGTGATCTTTTATAACTATCTTATTTATCTTACTTTCATGGCTGTTTATACGTCGGTCATTGTTTGTATGAGATAATAAATCAAGTCATAACATCTCAAAGATTAATTTTATTATAAATATTAAAATAGGAGTATGTTACAATTTAAAAGACTTTTTGAAAAATTTCCCCAATTAAGATAATGAAGCACCAAAGGATAACAAATAGTGTTACATTTATTTTAATAATCATTCCTTTAAAGATTGGCTCGAATAGGTTGAATACGTAACTTTCCAAACATTTACTCATTGTCACTATTATAAAAATTATATATTTATTTATTTATATATATATATATATATATATATATATATATATATATATTTATATTCAATTTTGTAAGTTTACTTTGAGCTCTCTATTGGCATATTAATAATTATGAAAATAGAAAATTCTTATGAATTATCTTTAGAAACTTCGTACGAAGAGTCAATAAATTTGATACTTTATTATAGATATAAATAATTTATACTTTTATACTTTGTTTATAGATCCAATAAAATAAGCCTATATTAATTGCAAAAACAATATTTAATTTAAAGTATTTACAGAACATTTTTTTTTTTTTACTTCTCGAAGATTTGTCCTACACTTTTATTTTTAGCTATCAAATAAACTAATAAAATTACGTAAATTCCGTTATAATTACATTTTTTTTTTAATAATACGTTAAACAAATTACTTACTAAATATCTAAAATAATTATTATATATTTATATTTTATACAATTACTTAGTAAATGGTATATGTTAGTTTAATGCAAGTACGATACGAAATGTCTTTAGATGTGTTTAAATTACATTTAATCAAGTTTTTTTTTGAGATTATTTGATATTTACAATATTATTATAATCATAACAAATTTCAATTGAAACTACATTGAAATTATATTAATTATTAATAAGTATTTTACATAAAATGTTTAAGAGACTGTAGACTGTTGTCCATCCATTGCCTAAATAACATTGCCTTAAAAAACATTCGATATCATTAATTTGTTTTCTTTTTAATAGTGAAAAATAATTAAACGTAATCAATAAGCTTATACAAATATTAAAATATTAAAATATAATATATATAATATATATGTAATATATATATATATATATATATATATATATATATATATATATAATAACAGTCTTAATCATAAAAACTGTTGTCAAATTATCCAACGTGAATTTACAAATGCGTATATTGACAAACTTATTTATCTATTATCACATACTAATAAACAATTAAAGTCGAGAATAATTTATAAAAATAATCTAATATACAAGATATTATAAATATTTTTATTTGTAAATACTTTCCAATAGAAGTGAAAAAACATTCTTAAAATTGTTGTTAATATTCATTCATTGAATGGTTCATTCTCATATTCGTAAGTACATTATGGAAAATATATTATGTGAATATATGAGATATACTGATGTCATTGTCATTAAGTGCCACATCAACTCATTCGCGCATACAATCTGTATATATTCTATTTTTGATATTATTTTGACTGAAAGTAATTATTCAGATTCAACCACCATCTTTAATCATCTTATTCTATATTCTATTGATAGAAGAATTAAAAGAGGAAGAGGGGGGAGGGGGGGAGAGAATAGAAGGCTGTAAAGCATCAATGATCTCTGTAATTAAATTTTATAAATTATAGGAATAAAAAGTTTTCTTAATACTGTTTGTCAAAAAGGCAGGAAAGAGCTTCAATAAATCTGCATTAATTTCCTTAAAATTACAATTATTATAGTCTTAAACTGTATTGTTGGCAGTAAACGTAGAACTTTATCATATAAACAATTTTTTAATAATTGTTCTATTAAAGGGACTAATTTTAAACTATTTCTATATCAATTTCAAATCGTTTATTCTTAACATTTAAAATTACGTAATAATTAATATTATGAGATTTATCATTTTTTCTGCGCATTAATTATAGAGACCTATATTTATTGTTTCAATTATATAAATAAATATGATTAAGCAAATTTCACAAATGTAAATGCATCTGAAGAGTTACCGATGTGCCTGTGAAACATTTTTTACCTTAATAAGTTTTTTTAAATGTTCACGTTTGAAAATTTTAACTAATCAATGTATGTTCGAGAATTACAAACATCACATTATAATAAAATTTATTTACATATTATGTAATTATATATTTTCGAGCAGACGGATTAAATAATTTTTTTTAATATACAAGTATATTAAGAGAATTAATTTTAATGTATCTTAAAAAAGACAAAAGATTTAACGTTTACTATTCCTATAAATTAATTGTTATGTTCACCGATAGATGCTTAATATTTTATTACATTCTTGTTCCTTTTATTAATCAATCGTTAATTCTATGATTATAATGAAAATTTATAAATAACTTCTTCCTATCATCTTTATTCAATTGCTATTATTTAAAAATCATACCTATTCCCATTACCTTTAGTTATGTCAAATGAACAATACTGTTACGATAAAAATTTGTTAATTACATTTCAGATTTTAATAATATTTATCCTAAAATTAATACAAATTATAAAATATTTATGGCTTACGTAATTTAAATTGAACAGTATAAAAAAACTAAGCAAAAAAAAAACTGTATATATAGCGTAGTTTCATTAGCTAATGACAAAATTTTATAATTAATTTTTGAATATTAACGCAAAAACAAAAACTTAAAACTTATATTTCTATACTAAATCAAATATTTAAATAATTAAAACATTTGTAAAGCTGTATTCATTTATTGTATAATGCACAATTATCGTTTAATAATATAGATAATTGCATATATAAAATTATGTATTCTTAAAGGATAGTAGCGTTTAGTACCTTAAAGTTTTTAATAACATTTGTTCATTTAATAAGGGAATAAATATATAATTATACGATTATGCATATATGCATCCGTATATAAATCCGTATAAATCCATATATAAATTACATTATTAATGTCCTTTAACACATAATAAATATGTACATATATATATATATATATATATATATTGTATATCGTTAAATAATCAAAGCTGTGTAGATTCTCACTGAATAATAATTATACTAAATTAACAATTGTACGTAATTGTATTAAATATAGCGTATAGCGATTGACAAAAAATTTGAATTAAATAATATTTTTTGCAAATGTAATAATACTTTTGTTTTGTTTGCAGTATCTGTTTTAACGTTTAGTCTCAATAAAGTAAAATATTCTTGTTGACTGGTTTCAAATAAAATTCTTATAGTTAATTATAAATTTGATTGAAGAACAAAAATCAATTAAACAATAATTGCGATTAGAATGTTTTTTTTTTTTTAATTTTTAATCTACGATTTCTATGATTGACTTATGTATTCGATATTAACTATTATAAATTTAATTATAATATTAAAAATTTGCCATTGCTCTATCTCTCTAAACGAGAGATAAAAGATTTTAATTCATTATTCCGACTCTTATTAAAACTTGTTAAAACTAATTAAAATGAATGCATATATAACTCTTTGTCATTATTGTAATTATGCCAATAGTTTATTACGTATATTTTGTGCTTTATTCGTTGAGTATAATGAGTTTGTAAAACTAACTAATGAGTAAATATTTTATTAAAAAAAAAGAGAGAGATAGAAATTTTAAATAGATTTTTCATAAATTTGTAAAAATTATCAGTTACACATACAAATGTAAGTGAGCTAAATTTGCATGAATTTAATGGCTACAATTATTATTTATAAATGTTATAAGAGTGAATTCCTATATTTTCAAATAAGTTAAGTCGTTTGATAATACATAAAAGCTAATCAATAATGTGTAAATATTGTTATAAAATATTAGTGAATGTAATGGAAGATGTAAATTTTAAGACAAAAAATCAAAAGCTGTATCGAGTGTTATTTTGCATACCAAATTTTCCATTAATTTTTTATTTCATTGCATTTTTTAATTTGTTTGCTTTCGTTTATACCTATCGTTAATAATTGTGGATAATCTAACGCTTGAATTAATAATATTTTTCGCCCAATGAAAGATAAATCTTTAATTGTATTTTTCTTTTTCTGTAATAACTCCTTATTCCGGTTTATTGTTAAAAAAAAAAAAAAAAAGTCAGATATTTCGTATGTACTGAAATCGAATTAATTGTATATCAATACTAATACAATGTAATTTTTTGTAATCGAAAATAAATATAAAAGTAATTAAGTATTTAATTAACAATTGTACGAATATAATATTTAATTGATCGATAATTAATAAAGGATGGTTAGTTAAAATAGAATAAATTATGTATTATAATTGTTCTTTAAGTCAAAGGTAAAATAATTTTTTCAAAATCTAATTAAAAATATCATAAATATAAATATATATATATATATATATATATATATATATATTTTAGTTCATATTGTAAATTTATATAAAGATAGTTAAGAAACTCAATTAAAACCCAATGAGTTTAAATAAAATTTGAAGCTGTGAATTTTTTTTACATATTTGTAATTTCATGTTGATTCAGAGTGATTTTATTGTTTATCAGAGTTTTTTAAAATTTATTTTTTATTTTTTATTTGTATTCCATCGAAGAGACATGTTTCGATCCTTTCATGTATAAAATACCTATAGGTGGAAAACATTTATTATTTAAAAACAAATTATACTGTTTAAAATGACAGTTATAGTGACCAATTTTATTCATTATTCATACAAATTATTTCTCAAAGATTTCAATGTGTTATTTTCGGAATGTTTCACTATGAAATGTTTTATTGCATTTGAAGTTTCAAGTTTTGTTTTAAATGCTCGTAATTTTCGTTTGCCTTCAATTGCACTAAAATTACTTGTACATAATTTTATTTACAATTAAATAAAAAATTAAAAAAAAATAATAAAAAAAAAACTTACCACCAAATTAGAACTGAAAACAAATCGGCCTTTTCTCGTGGATTTAATGAAACTTTCACTTTACTCAAATCCATTATCGACTATTTCATTTACTTGTTGCTAATAATTAGAAATTCTTCGTTTTCTTTTTTTATTTTTTGTCATACATAAGCTGAAAATTTTAATGAAAAAAATATTTATGTACTGCTACTACTTATTAAAAACATAATTCCTCAAAATATTCGAAATAAGGTACAATTTTATTGTAGCAAATATTGAAAATAATTGCTTGAGAATCTGTTTCTATAAAATAATGTATACTTCACTAACTGAGTAGAGTTTCTGTTGTACATTCGGCGATTCTTGTAATCAGGCGATATTTTTATTTTAGTTATGCGCTTCGTAATATCGTAGTGTGAATTAAAAGTCACCAGTCACATAAATCCTGTATAAATGAGCGTTTTAATAAATAATAATTTATTAATGATGATGCTTCATTTTAGTCTTATCGGCGTCTTTATACCTTATCATATTTGTTAAAATAATCAAATAATTGCTTATATTTACTCCATTTGATATCATTTCCAATATAATTAGTTTCAACTCGTCTGTTAATCGTTTGAAAATTTCGAGACGAACAAGCCCATTTTCATGAAACCTGATATTTGAACGAAAACATCTTTATATTTATTATAATTTATCGTTATTATAATACAATTGATTTTTAATTGTTTATGTCATATCCATAGAAATATTAAACATTAAAGTTATTAAGCAAATATGCCATTATAAAATTATGCTACTATTATTATTCACATAAAACGACTACATTAGCAATATTAAGCAATAAATTATTATTGCAAAGGCAATAATAAAGATTTAACCTTCTTTAATTAATTTCCTTAGAATAATAGCGTTTTTAATTTATTTTATTTATTATTTTTTTTTTTCGACATTAAAAAAGTACAATGACATTAATGATTTGCAGAATACGTTCGTACAAAAAATTTCAAAATAAAAAAAAAAAGGAATTTTAATTGCGCTTTATAAATGAAAGTGCCGAGAGTTAATAAACGATCATTTAGGGATCACGGAGTATATAAATTAATGATTTGTTTAATTAGAATTTGCTACTTTTTGTAGAAAATAGATTCTAAAGCATAGCATCGTACAATTAATTTTCTTAATTCAAAATCCTTTGAGAGCACTCCTTGCGCTAATATGTCTAATTAATTGCCATTCAATTGATATTAAAAGTATTGAATTTCTGCGAATATTAGAAGTAAGCGAGAGAATTAATGGATTGGAGTCTTGCAAAGCAAAACACTTATTACGTTATTTGATTAATCATGATTTAGCAGATAATAATTAATAGGGCATGAGGCTACTTTACTCTTACCTATTATGTCAGACAAGTTTTATTAGGGCATGAAAAAAAAGCTATGATTTTGTGTGCAAAATAAATATTAAATTTTTATTGTTGATCTTCAGATAATATCTAACACGAATATATCAATTTACTCATATTTCAATTCAACGCGATTTCTTTCTAATGATAAGTAAATGATTAAATTTACTTTTAGCGATTAATAGAATTTATTCAGAGATTTTTCATGTTTTTTTTTTAATTTTAGCTCTCCATTTATTGCCTGAATGTTTTTGGAATCTTATTTAACGTAGTATATAAAAAAAAATATTAATAACTGCGTGATCTTCAATTTTTTATTTTTACTTCATACTTACTTTTACGAGATATTTGCTTGATCTCTCTTATTTTAATACACAAGTATGTTTTTTCTTTAATAAATAAATAAGCCACTTATTTAAGTAATGTGATGCATAATAAAGTGATTAATTCGTTCGTTCATATTTACTGAAATTAAGAAGCTTTTTCTGACCGAGAGAACATTTTTAATAAAATTTCTATATATATAATGGATAAATAAATGTATCAAATACATTGCATAATTAATATATATATATATATATATATATATATGTGTGTGTGTGTGTGTATACTAATTAATAAATAATATATTTGATGAAAATTTGAATTTTCTAATTTTTCCAATTAGCTTTTCTTATTTGTTTTCACAATGAACGTTTTTTACACCTCGGAATAAATAAAATAATGGAGGATGTTAGTTTAAATTATTATCACTGTATAATTAGATATTCTTCATTGATTCATAATATATTACAATATATGATGTAATTTTATTTATTAATAAAAAAATTCTACATATCTTTAAAATCTTAAAATCTCATTAATTTACAAATTATATATTGGACTAAAAAGCTGTATAACTTTATCCAAATACATTCGAAGATCAAGAACATATACGATGAAAAATATAATCACAAATTATAAAAACGAACACTACACTTATAGAAAACAAAAAAAAAAAAAAAAAAAAAAAAAAAAAACAAACTCAAGGTGACTATCTATTTTATAAATAATACTTATGCAGCAATTTTAGTTATTAAATGAATTTATTGTAAATCACGTATTTATTAAAAATGATTTTAGAATCATTTATTTAAATTTAATTAATACAAGTAACGATAACAAAATTTTCCTTTTCACGAAACAATACCTATTTACAAGGCTTAGGAATTACGTTACTTTAACATCATCTGCAAATATTTACGTATACAACAAATAATAATATTATAACGACAGATACACCTTCTGAATATAATCATTCCAAGGAAATATTTAAAAATTAAAATAATTTTAAATGCAAAAAGTAAAGAGTTACAGTAAATATGAAATTAGATAAACTTTATTGTACAGACTTCGTCATACACAATCGTGAATAAAAAAAAATTGCAAAAAATTATCTATAAATTATTACGATATAATATAATGTTTTATTTAACAATACAATTAACGCTTAACTGAAATTTAACTTTACACGAATTTTTTTTTTTTTTAGTTTTTTTTTCTTTTTTTTTTTTCATTATAATTTCTGTTACAAGGATTTTTACTGAATTCAAAGGGAAGTATTTTCGAACTAATTATTATAATATATAAATTAAGCCTTTTATGTTGTTAAAATTTTTAAGTGTAAAGAATATATATATATACATAAAATGAAATGATAATCTTTGTGAGCATTATTTTTCTGAACACCACAATTAGCTTACGATCATAGGAACCTTATCTTGTAAATAATTAAAATACTTGCTTCGCTTGAACCAGCCAAAATACAGTCAAAAATTAAGATTAAAATGCCATGCCTTTTATGAAAAAACAAAATGTTATCACCCTGTATTCAGTTTTCAAATAATTAATGGCAATCTGTATCCACGAATTAATTGTATGCTCTTTTATTTTTATGTCAAGCAACTAAGCGATCCACAGTAAATAGGAATCATTTATTAAAATCAAGTTTCTGGCCATTATCATTGTACAAGCCATTGGAATAATTATATATCATAGTTTGAAAGCATTAGTTTTACTAGCTTTCATCGACGAAAGCTATGGTGATTCTCATAGCTATGTGAGTTTGGCCATCAGTTGCACAACTTCAGATAGTTACTTTGTAAATTCCCTTTTTCATCATTACTACATATAAACTGTCATTCATAAGAGTGCGTTTACAAATTAAAAGTAAATTATGTGTCCTTTTTAAAGTGACATAACATTATACAGAATGGCGATACAAATTTTCACTCTACAAATGATAAAAAAATCTAAATATAAAATTCTTGTAATAATTAAAATAAAGTTTCGTAGTATCACAATTCTAAATTGTCATTATATAAAGTAGCTACAATAAATAGTTACCTACTTTACGACGTTAAAAATGTTGGTTCTTTGTTTGTAAATATAGGCTGCATTTTATTTTTTACCTACCAATACTTTATTATATATATATATAAAAAAAAAAAAAAAAAAAAAAAAAAAAAGAAGAAGATAAGTTACTTTAAAAATTACCAATAGATCTATGTAAAAAATGTCAAACTAAAAGCTCATTAGATATCTAACTGAGCAGTTCGACGTGTTTCTGACGGTCCTTTTAAGGCGTATCGCAGACAGTTACTTTGAGTTTCCTCGACAATAACGCTGTTTTCTTTTTTGCTTTTTGTTTGTTTGTTGGTTGGTTGGTTGGTTGGTTGGTTGGTTGGTGGATTATTGGTTAGTTAGTTAGTTAGTTAGTTAGTTTGTTTGTTTGTTTGTTTGTTTGTTTGCTTGTTTGTTTGTTTGTTTTTAATTCGCCTACTTGTCCGAAGGGAAGGCAGCCACGTGGGATAACATTTTGGAGATTAGTAAATTCACTTTGCCATGCGCGTAACTAAGACACTTGGCAAGTCCAGGGCAACAACCGAATTCTTCAATTGTTTTAAATCTATATGTCCTGAAATTCTTTTCTTGATCTATGTATGTAACAGCAGCCATGAGAGGACATAAAATAATCTTCGTATGATCTTGGAAGTTGATCTGAAACGAGAAAGAATTTTTTATGTTATGATAAGAATGCTTTATTAATATAAAAATTCGGCCCTTCGTAATATGTAAATTAAACTTTAAACTCGATTAAATAATTACACGTGACATTTAGTATTAAGACATACATTGGCCTCGTCCATCGTCGATACTACTATTTAGTAAAAAAAAAAAATTCCACTAATAATAATAATAATAATTCAACTAATAAATTGAATTTTACGCACTTGAAGGGATCCATTCGTTAATAGCATGACAACCGCTGTCTGCGTCCTGAACCACTGATGCATGTACGGTGGTCTTGCCAAAGAATCGCTTTGCTTAATGGCAACCGTGCCACCAGCTTTCATTAGGTGATCATTCATGTAACGCAGAAAGAAGTTTAGCAACTTCATTTTCTTTTCAAGATGATGCGGGTAATCCCTGATTGTGTAATACAATTCTTCGCCCAATCTATTGATGTAATGGATGTTGAAATTATTGGCGAGCATTATAAGGCGGGTACCATCGTTATACATGACACCGACACCGTCGTCTGAGAGCTGGTAGCCAAAACCATATTTGTCCGAATAGTCCACCCACTTACTAACCCATACGAACGGTTGGGCAATTGGATCGGTCATTTCATCTAAAAGTATTCGCTTAATTAGTTAAAGGAAAAAAATAATAATAATAATAATAATAATAATAATAATAATAATAATAAGAAGAAGAAGAAGAATAATACGCTTTAGAGTGGATGAAGAGAGGAGAGAGGTTGATGTGATTTTTAAAAGATATTCATAAAATGTGCTTTATAATCTATTAGTGCTGCAAGAAATTTTTTTTAATCAAGAAATTTTCTTTCGTCATTTCATTACGATGAATAAAATAGCACAATTAAATGTCATGTATAGACGTACATGAAATGTTATCACAAGAAATTAGAAAGAAAAGTTGCTTGCGCCTAAACAACATATCCTTCAAGGGAATATCAAATTTGACATAGACGTGCACTTCACTGTCCACATGTTGTATTTCTAATGACGCAATATATTTATTGTTGTATAATACGGGTATATCGATAACGACATTACTATTATATTGGAGAAAATATAGCAAATATTTGGGTAGGATTGAAGTGAAAAAGAATGCGTAAGCCTAAAATGATTAGAACCAAGCTAACTGAAAATCATTGATTTATCCGAAACGACAAATACAACAAAATTTGATACTCCTTGAATGGAAAATTTTTTTTCTCAAGATTAAACAGTGTCTTTTGAAATAAATTGAAAATTATTCGAATTAATATAATGGATAATATAATAGTTAATATGCAGCGTTTAAGCTAAATATATAATATAACAAAAATTTAATTTTTTTTCATTTACTCTTATTGTACTCTAAATTACAAGAAGGTATATTGTATAACATAAGCCAATGATGCATATCAGAAGCTTAATAAATAGGATTCATGCCTGTGTTATTCAGAAAAAGTTGGAAAGGTCTCTGGAATTCTAGAGAAAATATTTATGATTATCAATACAAAGTTTAATAACGAATGTATTTATAATAATGCATAACTATGGCATACCTGAACAAGCCATTTCTTTGCCAGGCTTAGACTTCAATAATACTTCCAATTGCTCTTTTAGAGTCTTAAGCATATTATCAATGTCATGATCTGCCTTTTGTGCTGTGTTTTGTCCATTTTGCTTAGCCTTTCGTGGACTCGATTTTACCCTATAGATATCTTCGATATTTAAACTATTGTTGAAATTCATTTCAGATAAAGGTTTTCGATTGAATGATTCAAGCATATCGAGACGCGGTGCCATAGTTAAACATGATACTGGTAAACTTGTTGGCATGAAACCTAAAAATATTTTAAGGCAATTAAAATTTAAAAATATTCCTTCGTTTCTGAATAAAATAATCAAAGCAGATGAAATTTTATTTCCAAGCGCATAAGAAATCATGATCGTGTGTGATTATGTGAGTCACTACTTACCAGAAGTGAAGAAAGAATCTTTCAGTAATTTCGCAACGCTTGGTCGTTTTGATGGACTTCCTTGTAACATGTTTGATATCATATTCATTGCAGCTGTATTTTGCATGTGTGGTGGTTTTTCATAATCAACTTGTTTAATTTTCGTGTACGTTTCTTTTAAACTTGACGTTTCAAAGGGCGGCTTTCCAACTAATAATGTGTACATAATACATCCAATGCTCCAAATATCTACTTCGTAGGAGTGGCCAGCTTTTGTCAAAATTTCTGGAGCTATGTAATTTGGTGTTCCACACAATGTTCTAAGAATTCATAATGCACATTTTAAAAATACAAATAAGAAAATAGAAATTCAAATATATATTAGAAAAACTTTTCAACTCTTACTGTTTTCTCTCCCCATCGTGTTGGATTTTTGTGGCTAAGCCAAAATCACCAATTTTCACGTACAAATCATCGTTAAGAAAGACATTTCCAAGTTTTAAATCTCGATGGATAATTCTATTTTGATGTAAATAAGACACTCCTTCCAAAATTTGTTTCATGTAGTATCTAGTCTCATATTCTGTTAAAGCTTTTCTTCTTTTATGCAGTTCCATCATGGACTAGAAATGAAAAATTTTAAATAATAAACAACCAAATAATATATATTATATAGTGAAGAATTACAAAGTAAATCATAGTTTTGATAGCATTCATCCTTTATTTAAATATCTTGTTGCCAGTTTGCCAAATTGCCAGTCACATAAATTGGTCGCAAAAGTTATCAAAAGGTTCGACACATTTAATTTTTCTTACAAATTTAATAAAAACGAATTTTCTCACGTTCAATTTGTTTTAAGAATTCTAATAATTTGAAAATAAATAATACTAAACTGCAATTACTATTGAAGTAATAAAGGATAAATTAATTATGTTCACAAAATCATATTTTATCGCTTGCTAAATTAATTATCTTAAATTTATGTTCTAATTTATAATAAAATGTATCTTAATATGCATTTAATTATATGTGTAATAAAAAATACATCTTAATAATCATTTAAATATAATTGAAAATTTTATTATTATTTACATTTAATTTAGAAAAAACATTTTCAAACATAATTCATAAACGTTATTTATATTAAAGTATATCTATTTGAATGTATGATGTATATAATTGACAAAAACTGTTATTTGCACAAATTATATAATAATTATTATATTCATAATTGATCTTTCTTCTAATTTTAATGTACATATTTGAATATAAGCAATGGTGAAAGGTGTTATTTGCGCGGGTAAGGAAGTAACCAACTGGAAAATCCTTGGTTTACTATAATCCAACTGTATTACAGTGCACCAATATTTATATTTGCAAAGCAAAGCGTGGAAAATGGTATTGTAAGGTAATTAAAACTCTATCTTCTTTTACAGTTTTTTTTTGTTAAATTGACATATATAATAAATATACTTTTATTTGACTTTATCTTTATTTTACTTTATGAAGCTCTAACATTTTCCAACCAATTTAAACGTACAAAGATCTATTGTTTCGGATTGTTAATTTCTCATATCAATATTTGGATAATATATCCAATATTTTTTCTGTTTTACAGATTTACCCGTATCTGTTTTCAAAAAGTATGTAAAATTTAAAGACTTGATTAATAAAAGCTTCCGTTAACATTTTCATGAAATTCACTATTTGTTGTTACATTAGTTTATTGAGCTTTAATAATTACTTTGTTATAATACTATATATATATATATATATACAGTATTATAACAAAGTAATTATTTATGTATACACAAAAGCTCTGTTTATTATTGTTTTTTAACTAAACGTATCTGGCTCTATTGTAAATATTTTATTATATATATTCAAATTTAATAATCAGAAAATTGTGAAAAGTATATTTCAGCTATTTTAAACTATGATTACTGTTCAAATATATGCTTGTAAAATAATATAAATTTTTATTGTTTTATATTTAAAAATTTCATGACTATTCATATCAGATACCAACCTGTGCTCATTTATTAATTGCATCGAATACTACTTTATTGAGTAATTGTTGCACCTTAATCTTACATTAATACATTATACCAGTAACTGTTCGCTGTTACATGCGTAAAGTAAAGATATCTATTTTATATTTATATTATACAGTTCACATATTGTATATTTGATGAGACAGAAATTATTATTTTACATTAAATAAAATTTTTAATTTAGAATTTAGATTTTAACTTAGAAATTTAAATATTAATCATGAAACTCTTTTATTTAATAATTGTTGATCTGCTAAAATTCATTACCTTTTAAATGTAATGCTAAAAATTTACTTACAATTATTTAGTAATCTTTTATTTTTAATAATATTTTAAATATAAATGTTTGTAACGTACTCTTTTTCTGCACAATTCCAAAATAATGTAAACATTATGACTGTCATCGAAAGATCCATGAAATCCAACAATGTGCCTATGGTTTAAACTTTTATGAATAATTATTTCTTGGATCATTTTTTCTCGTTGGTTGTTTTTTGTCATTATCCTTTTCGGTACAATCTTTCCGGCAAAGATTTCGTGCGTCTTTGAATCTCGAATTTCGTAACATTTTGCAAAACCACCCTGGAAAATAAGATTAACAATCAATTAATATTGATAATAATTAATTACAAGTATACGTATATATATATATATATATATATATATATATATATATATATATATATTATTTTATAATTATGCAAATTGATGTACAGGCTTAATATATTAAATTACTTTTGATGATCGAACAATATTACTATTAAATAAAAAATATTAATCAATTGTTTAAAATCATTTAAGCTTATCTGGATAATTTATTCTTTCTCAGAATTTCTCGATGCATAATTAAATATTTTTAAAAATTAAAATCGAATTGTTCATAAAAGCATTCACATATTGTATAAAACATATGTATTGTGTATAAAATTCATTTTAATCAAAATATTTGACAATAAGAATTGAAAAATATAGAGGATAAAATTATATTCAAATGATAGTTTGCGAAGTATCATGCCATAAGTGTAAATTCTTCTAAGAAAAGACTGACGTGCTTTCTGAATAAAGAATTAATATGATTTATTTAGATTAGCCGATCCATTTAATCGTTATGTGAGAACAAAATACAGTTTTTTGGATGAGAAAGAAAACTTATCTATGTTATAGGGATGGAATCAAATAATAAAAAAGTCTGATGATAAGCTCGATAAAAAAATTGAAGAAATAATTAATAATTAATCATTTAAATTATTTAGAAGTTGTAATTATTTGTTTCATTTTATATGGAATAAATTTCATTCAAACTTACTAAATATGACATATACTAAATTAAGTTAATATAATTTAACAAATTCTTAAAACAATTATATGCATTCGATTTCAAAATGATGAATCCATTACTCTTCAGATGGTACAATAATTATCTATAAAATTTTTCAAATACAGTAATAAGCCGTTCGACTCGATTACCAAATTACTTCAGTAATTGAACATTTTGCCGCCAAAATACTCATGTTACTCTAAAGCATAAAAAACCTATTAATAAATATGTTTATTTAAAAAATTGAAATTTCTCAATAATAAAATGTACATAATATCGGTGTATTGCCGACATATCGATGTTTTACAAGTCAGGTAGGTATAAAAAATGTTTGCCTTAGAAATTCAATTCAATATGTAAATGACCTTCAATGGTTACACCAAAAATACAAATGATAATTTAACTTTAGTAAGTATTGAAAATATGCTTTCAGTGTCCAAACATAAAAGACATTAATTTCCAATACGTATTTAATGAGAAATTATTAATTAATTCGTTCCGGTGAGAATGTAAAATATGCTGTATGATGTAAAACACAAGAGAAACGCTTTTATTATTTCAAAACCGAGTTTCATGTAAAAAAGAAGAAAAAAAAACGATATCTATGAATTGTAATAGAATTTTAAGCTTTTATAAAGAAGTTAGTGAGTTTATGTTATGAAATAAGATTATCAAATAAATGCAAAAAACGCATTAAAGTGTAGGGTAGAAAGAAAATTTACAGTTATATTGTTGAAGCAACACACGCATATAATATATATATATATATATATATATATGGGCACATCCATTAATTATTATCGATTACAAGAATATAATTAGTTTTTAATTAATAACTTAACTCTCTGTAAAACTTGTGTATTCAAATCTCAAATCTTTTTTTCTTTTTTTTTTTTTTTTTTTTTTTTTTTTTTTACTGTAATTACTTAATAAGAATATTAAAAAAATATATATAATGATAAGTAAATTATTGTTTTAAATATTAATATTTTCAATATCATTATCAGATATTTAATGTGGGTTTTATTATAATATGCCGTTTGAAAGCTTGTGGGTACTTTTCTGAAGCAGTATTTTCATGTAAACGAGCAACAATTAATTATAAAGATATCGTCGCAGGTAATGCAATAAAACTGAAATCCTTAGGTACAGCACGCGAAAGAAAATTATCTGTATGAGGTCCTCGAAGATAATTTATCACAATTCATTTACACGACTATGCAATTCTAGGATGGTAAAATTCCTTCGACAATAGACGCGACAAATACATTGCATGCTATAATTCTAACCACAAAACGGTTATATTTTCTAGTAGTATATTTTCAAGTTATTATAAGATTATTAAGTCGGCATATTAGAATATAGCCACATTGAGAAAAAGTAGAAATCTTGAATTTAAAACAAGAGATTATCTAAAAATGTAATCTTCCCTGTATCAAATATTATTTATAGTACTGTTTCTAAGTAATAAATATTTTAAGAAGTTGCACGACAAACATAAACAATAATATTCGATTGCAAGTAATGCAATGTAAGTAAAATAATAATTTCACATTGATAATTTGTTACAATTATCGATTATTAATAATAAAATGAAATAAGCGATAAATTAAAAATAGCCGACTGCTATAATAAATTCTGTGTCGCAATATGACAATTTTAAATAATCAAAAATACCAAATTCTGTGTCTTGATAATCGTAAACCAATAAATATATTAATTATCTAATAATAAAAGAATATTAGGGTATGGTAAAAATATATATAAGAAATTAAATGCAGACACGATACACTTCAAGGCTAAAGCGAATAATAAATAAATTAAATTATATATTAAGAGAATAAACGTATGATAAAATTAAAGATTGTTAAAATTAAATATGTATTTTTGTGAATTCAAATTATTTTTTTCTTTCCAAAAGTCCATCTATAATTACAAATTTATTGCAATTTAACGCGCGGTAAGTTTATGATAATTTACAAATAAAATTGACATACTTATTTTTACCATTTAATTATAAGTATTATTTTTATTAAACAAAAATTGGTATTTATAAACAAACGAGAAGCAGAATATTCTTAAATGCAGAAATGCTATTTCATTAAAATAAATAAACTTGAATTTAATTTATATATAAAATTCATTCGAAGTACAGAAAATTACATATTATTTACAACACAAATATATTGTGGATTCAGAAAGTTTTAAAAATTTACAATGAAAATGTGTAGATTCATTCGACAATATATATGATTATCGATAGTATATTAATCGTCGCTCCTAAATCAGTTAATATACAGTATAGCTACTTGCATCGATATAATAAAACTGATTCTATCACACACAATTGACATCGATAGAAGTATTAAAATTTTCTTCCTTTCATTTTTTTTTCCTTTTTATAATTCATTCTCTCATTTTTATCAAAGTAATGAAAACAAAATTCTACACACTCTATCATGACTCAGAGAGAATTTGTGAGTAAACAAGCTGTCATCTAGATGCATATCCCCTAGAGTCCAGCAAATAAATTAGTTTCCTTGAAGCACGAGGTCCAAATATAGCGACTCTGACGCTTTAATGAAGCTTTAACCGTATCCAACGAGCATGGCACTCACCTTGCCTAAATACCGACCCTTGATGTAAGACTTCTTGTTGTTCTTGTCATAAATCTGATCAGGAATGATCATCTCCTTCTCCTCTTTCGACATTATGTAGTTTCTTACAACAGCGACGTCGACGACGAGAGATTTTCGCGGATCTCGCGCACACGGACTCCTTCTTTCTTAGTTTTCGCTTGCCGTACTGCGTGCCGGTCCCAAAGTTCCTCGAATACTTATTCCTTTCAGCAGCCGCCGAACACCAGGTAAGTTAACTCATGGATGTATAACTGGATGAAGCAAAAGAGGCAACCGACTCTTTAACACCGAACGTTCAAATTTAAATTCAATCCATGGCCAATCATAGGGGCACAATGTACCACGTGACTCGATCTTGTGCGGCTAAAATGAAATGCTAGTCAAGCTGGAGTTGAAGGGAGGCAGCGGTGAGTTTTTCAAATGATTTTGCCGTTTTTCGCTCATCGGCGAGAAATATAAGAGAGTCGAAGCTTTGATTTTCCGCTGTTTTTATTTTTGAAACTTTCTCTTCCCATCAATTCAGTTATTACTACAAAATCAATCTACTTCTAATAATGTGCTCTATTACTGTGCGTAGTTGTTTGCATATCCGCGGATATTCAAATTATAATATACACATGCATACATATATGCATTAAGTGCATATTTATTGCTGGTTAATTTTACCAATCCAACAATTATTAGCTGTCTTTCCAATATGTAAAAAATAAATTTATCGATAAAGTGGAGAATTGTGCATAGAAGCAGCTCAACATTAATCAACCGTTGTATAAGATAAATAGTCTCTGTATCATCACTTTTCAACTCAAATTCAACAATATTAATGTTATAATTGCAATTAAATCCATTACTGCTATTTGTATATATATATATATATATATATATATATATATATATATATATATATATATATACATTCATTAATTTTTATCGCGCAATATTATTTATTTATATATTTATTTTATGTTATTTTTTGTTGTTTTCTTATTAAATTAATGTTATCTTTTAATTATATTGAGATTAATGAAGAAAGGGCTGACGAAATAGAACATTTTTCATTTCATTTGGAAAACAATTTTTTTTTTTTTTTTTTTTTTTTTTTTTTTTTTATCTCTCAATACAACTGAAATTATGTATAAAATTCATTAGAATTAAAGATTGACTTATCGGATGGAATTATGGAATTATTAATATTAATACATAATTATAAATGCCATTGGGTAATACAATAATTTTTGTTTAATTAAAGCCGAATCCACACCAAAAAATGTATTTCATCTTATTATTAACATTTAAGTTAAAATGACTGGAACAACTTTTTATTCCCAAGTACCGTTGTAAAATAAACGAATACCAAATCATACTAAAGCATCGTATAAAAATATCCACTCTTTAGAATTTGATATTGTACAAATAGAACTTGAAAAAAAAAAAAACTGTCAAGACACTTAGTACGAATATTTCCTCTGCAGCCTGAAGTAAAGAAAAATAATTAAAAATTGATTAAAAACATGTTAATTACAAATAAACGAATTCATTAGAAATAGCTTTAAATTACAACAAAAAATAGCTTTCATGCAAGTGTATTTATTATTGATAAGAAAAGATTCCCAAGAATATGTACGAAATTCGATTTGTTAAATTATAATCTGAAAAAAAATTTTAAATCACTTTAGAAATGAATTTCTAGTAGTAGTAAGTATATCGTGTACGGAGAAAAAAATAATTAATAAACAATGCCTAATATATGTATTCCCACTACTTCGCCGGTACTGGCACTGGCGCCTGCACACTATGTATACGCGCCCGCGTATATATACGCATATGACTGTATGCATATATGTACATTAAAAAAGGCGGTAATTAGGGTAAATACATATTCTGGGTTTTAACACAATCCGATTTATGAATATTCTAAATGAGAAGAGTTCGAAAGACATCATCGGAACAAGTACTTGGGAATTACATATTAAATTCTGTTAGGCTTTATCAGCGATCGTATAGTAAATTAAAACAATAGTATGGTGTCCGAATTGCAGTATTCACATTGGAGGTCATGACGCCATGAGCTTAATGTAATGCAATTATTTAAATAATAAATAATGTAGCGGAGCATATATTTGTGGTATGGTTACCAATGAAAGTACCGCTTCCGGTCTACAGATTCTCCTCATCGTAGGTGGAGCGATGGCTGTAAATAAACGGCACATTAGTGGCGGATGGCGGTTTGCGTTAGAAGGGCGGGGGGAAGAGTGTGGCTCGGGTCCGTTCGGCTTGCCTCGACGTATAGCCAGTGAGGCGAGGATGAGAAGGTGATATGGTGGTGGAGGTGGCGGTAATATGCAGGAGTGAGTGAGCGAGAGCGTAAGCGTGGGGTTTGGTGGGACGGCGCGATGGACTGGCTCGGTGGGGGGAGGGGGGGGAGACGACGGATGAGAAAGAGTTGTAAAGGCTAGCCAACCGAGTGCACGACCGAGGGTTTGGATGGATTGGCGGGGGGATAGACTT